GTTGGTCAGCCCAAAGCCAGTGGAGGGTGCAGCTCCGGCTGCAGGGGCTGGTGTGCTGTTGGCCAGCCCAAAGCCAGTGGAAGGTACAGCCCCGGCTGCAGCCTTTGGCGTACCGAAGGAGAATCCTGTGGTCTGGCCAAAATTAAACCCACTCATTTTGGCTCCTGGGAATAAAAGAAAACATGAATGACATCACAAAACATTATATAAAACAAACAAATTCAAAACAATTCAACATATAAAACACACACACGCACACAAAAGTTGAACGATAAATTTAATGCTAATATCAGTATGAAAGCACTTTCTATCTCTTTACTGTAGCTGTATTTAACGGAGACTCCTTCACTTTGTCTAAATAAAATAAAGAACAATGTAAACATATAACAAAAAATATATTAATATGTTCTGCATGTTTCTACCAATCATTTCAATGTACGATACTCCGTTTGCAAGAAACATAAATGAAAATGCAATGATACAGTTAGAGTGATATTTTCTCCCGGTTTTCAATTATGTATCAACTTTTTACCTACTAATTAGTTATTTAATACAAGAGAGCTTATCAGGAAACGTTGACTACCGATACACTAGGTAGTACGAAGCAACCAACACACAACTGTAATCAAGTTAGCCAAATACGTTTAAAAAACGAGGTAAAACTATAACTCTGAACTGTAATTTCTACAATTACGCTACACGAAAGATTTCAAGTTAGTAACCGGCTTAGTTATAACTTTAAAAATGATTCAATACAAAACTCAGGTGCGTTATTCGGTATTCGCTAAAATTAGCTCCGCTGACATTTTCCGTCTAAGAAAATGGCGACAAAAATATTTAACAACATTTTAAACACGAGATGTTCTTATTGTACCGTAGATACTTTCCAACACATCATATATTAATTATTACATTACCTTCTTAATGTACTTTAATGAAATAACCTGCCACCGACAACCCACGTCGTCATATACAAAACTAGCGGCAAGGAGATCCGTCACTCCTGCGCGACTCACAAGCTTAGGGCCCAGAAGGCAACCACGGCAATGCCTGCTCTATTTCAGTCAAATGTATTATATTAAATACATGATTCGGTGATGAAAAAACAGCAAGACATTAGTTATAGTATTAATAGGTAAAAGAAAAAATCAAAATGAAAGAAAAGTTAAACGACTCATTAGGCAGCTCTCTTCCAGCTGAAATGGCATTTCCATGTACTTTGGATAATGTGGCATATCGGTACTTTATTTTTTATTATTGAAACAAGTATTTAACTATTGACACATTCTCAACGATACCAAATACAACAAGATATAGCATTGCGTTGAACTGCATAATAATATTATAGAAGAAAGAAAAAACAAATACCTACTAAGGATCCAATTGCAACAATCAGAAATTTCTCCAATAAAGGACGCAATTTCAGGGCTTTTCTGTGTTTCATAAATGTAAGTGATAAAACATATAGGTTAAAATCGTTCTTCCAATATTCTGTCTGGGAGGTAACACAAATACACTGACATGTATGTATTTAGTATTTACATATCACAAGAAGAACATTGACTACAATATCCTTATTCTCCTCTAGACACATCGGGACTGAGGGGACGGGGGACGGGGTAGCTTTGGGGAATGTCTCTTGATAGTTCTGATTTTTTTTGTTAACTGGAAGATTATTTGCATGTGCCCTTTAAATGGTATTTTGACTAGCATCGCACATATTTGGATGTGCCTAACGCAATCATTATCGTGTTTTCGTTTTAGCTATTTATATTTAATTTCCTGTGATATCTTTATTATATCTCAATCGTTAATTTGATCAATTAAACCACGTGGATAGGGTCAAAAAAAGCAGGCATGTGACCCACCAGCTACATATATTGCCGCCCTACATCCTCTCCACTGCATGATGAGTGACTTGGGCGTGCGTCCAGTACCGCTGGATCTAGGCGTGCTGAGGGTGCTTTAGTACCCCTGCTGGTAGTTAGTGGTAATTTTGTGTCAATACTTTAGGGCAGGGCTGGCCAAGCTTATTCGCCGGTGTGTATGCGGGTTTTCGCTGCAACTCCCCAAGTAGATTACTAATTAGAGGAGTGATTGGCTGAAGAGTCCTCACACCTGGGTTTGAACAGCTGACCAACAGGTTATCCCAAAAACCTGCATACACACCGGCCCTTTGCGGATAAGATTGGCAACCCCTGCTTTAGGGATTCGTGTGAATACCTGTAGTTTCCGCTAAAAAACATAGCGCAATGTTAATGATCTCGCAGTGTTTCTCAGAGGCGATTTAATTATTATTTCTCAAAAAAGATTACCGTTGTTAGGTGTTGATAGCTACCGATCATACAAAAGTCTATTGCAGCGTTTCCAACTTTGGTCAGCTGGCTGAGATTTTCAATTGGAGACAAGTATGCACACGTTTACATGTATGTAACAGTTTTATTACCTTGTACAGAGTCTGTAGAGTTTGCAAACTACCCCAACGCTTTTGATGTAGCTAATTTTAGGTTTACAATGGAATAATATAGATTTGCAGTAAGATTTCTTACGTGAGCGCGAGACTGAAAGCGAGTGTCAGGCCTGATGCGTGAGAGTTGGTCGTTACAATTTTCAGAGCCATGAGCTCAAAACCGTATTCCCGCGCGTTTGCGTCCGTCTTCCTGTTCTTATTGCTTAAGGTAGCATTTAACACGGGCACCTAAAATGTGCAAGATATTAGCCCTTGAGGGAATAATTAATTAAATAAAGGGAATGATTCTATAAGGCTGTAACTAATCAAAACGAGAACTGACTGGCGCGCCGGCAAGGCAAGGCTACCTAATCGGAACAGATAGGGGGGGCGACAGAGAATATCAGCGACCCCTACTTATCTTTTAGCCTTCCAGAAGGACTACGAGCCGGCTGGAGTCACACATGTGCTTGTCACGTAGACGGAAGGTACCGAGAAAGGGGGGGGATGCCCAAAGGGCTTTAAAAGGGATACAACTGACACATATGGCAGAACCTCCTCCTGTACATGCTGAATGTATGTCAGACGGCCGCTCCCGGATTGCAATCTGTCAGACAATAAACCGGTGATTTGCAACTTCTCCCCGTGTCAGCTGTGAATCTCTTCTCATCCACGGACGCGGTGGAGACGGCGTGATCCAACACCCTCTGGGCCCATGCTATAGATGTACATGCTGAACCTATGCATTATTTTTTTCAACATTATAGCCTGCATTTTTACATGCTTCTCTTCATGTTACTGTTAATTTTAATTTTTGTTTTTGTGACATTGTCCTCTTTGAGGTGCAGAGTTCAAAAATGAATGGTTTCAGTTGATTCTTTCAGGATTATATTTGGATCAAAAAAATTGCAAGAGTATATTTGGAGATACATAGCCTACTAAGCAAAAAAAAAAAAAACACTTCAATGTGGGGAATATGAAATGACTCACTTGTCAAAGAGCTGTTTGATCATCTCTGAAAGGCACTCATTTGCTGCACAATAAGCTATTCTGCATTTGTAATTTGCAATTAAAATGCAGTTCTTTGAGATGAAGTGGAGGAAGCGACAGCAGCTGCTTTGGTCGTGTGTGTGAGGCTGACACGCTTTAGGCTTGGGGCCCTCAGGATATGTGAGAGTGTTCAAAATATCCAGTCCTTGGTGTGCAATTGTTTATCTGTCATCCACTTATTCTGCAGTTGCTACTAGATTCTTTCTCAAAAGATATTTCTTTGTATAGCTTTTCTCAAGCCTGGATTTCGACCCAAGATAGAAGACAGGCAACCCACTAGTTCCTTTTTGTATAACAGAAGTAAAATCAAGAATCTACCCCTGATTTAAGAAGGTTTCACTAACATTCGCTAACATTACCACAGTGGAGTTCACATGTTCTACTCGTGCCATTGTGGGATCTTCTCTGGTTTTCCTTCACAGTCTAGAAACAGGCTAATGTGGAGTTGCCACACTGTCCTAAGGTGTGACTCTGTGTGTGAGTGCCCTGCAAGGGGTTGGCACCCCAACCTGGGTTATTCCCTGCCATGCACCTGGATAGGATGAGTGGATACAGAAAATGGATGAAGGGATACCTAACATGTCTACCTAACATACTGAAATATAGTGCAGTATAAGTTAGTAGAATTTTAAGTTGCATCAAATGAAAATCGACAAAATTACAATAATCCATTTGCATTGTAAATGGGACAGTTTATTGTTCTTTCTGGAAAAAAATCCAGATATGGAATCATGGGGACAAACACAGGCTCCTGATTATGTATAATCAATGAAATTTAAGTTTCTGACATTTTCGGACCCACTATAGAAATTTTAGGGCAAAGTTGTATTCTGTGAGCAGAAATATACAGTACAGATATTTTATGGGTTCCACTGAAATAAAGGTAGCTGATTACGAGAAAGATCTCGGTATGTATGCTGATGCTTCCATGTCCCACTCTCGCCAATGTGGGGAAGCAATAAAAAAGGCGAACAGAATGTTGGGTTATATCTCTAGATGTGTGGAGTTTAAGTCAAGGGAGGTGATGTTACACTTATATAATTCCTTGGTAAGACCCCACCTAGAATACTGTGTGCAGGTTTGGTCACCATACCTCAAGAAGGACATTGCTGCCTTAGAAAAGGTGCAACGAAGAGCTACGAGAATGATTCCTGGTCTTAGAGGAATGTCTTACGAGGAGAGGTTAGCGGAACTGAATCTGTTTAGCCTTGAGCAAAGGAGACTAAGGGGGGATATGATTCAGGTCTATAAGATTCTAACGGGTCTGGATGTTGTTCAGCCAAATGACTATTTCAATATTAGTCTAAATACTAGAACTCGTGGCCATAAGTGGAAATTAGCGGGAGAACATTTTAAAACAAATTTGAGGAAGCACTTCTTTACACAGCGTGTAGTCAGAGTATGGAATAGTCTTCCTGCTATTGTAGTGGAAGCTAAAACCATGGGTTCCTTTAAATCAGAGCTAGATAAGATTTTAACAACTCTGAGCTATTAGCTAAGTTCTCCCCAAACGAGCTTGATGGGCCGAATGGCCTCCTCTCGTTTGTAAATTTCTTATGTTCTTATGTGTGTGGTTTTGCCGGATGTAGGAGAGAAAGACTGTCATTACTGTATCTGTGTACAAAATGCAGTAACCCAAACTGGGTTTCCTCCAGATGATCCAGTTTCTTTCCAAAATCCAAAGGTTTGTGTTTTAGGAGAATCGGTGGCTCTATATTGCCTGTTATGCATGTGTCTGCTTCGGATTGGACAGGTGTCCCATTCAGGGTATCCCCTGCACCGTGCGTTGTGAAGATTGGATACTATAGGGATGAAAGCGGATATGTTTACAGCAGGCTGTGCGCCTCGCTGCATGTGCCGTCTGCATCGCAGCTGCTCTCGTTGCCATCAGCGTCAGACAGTAGGCCGCTGCCGGTGCAGCGCATTTGGCACTCAAGCTGAGTGAGCCGCTGCTTAAGCTTCTGCTGTGTGGCCGTGTACTCGCCGAGCATCCTGGCAAACCGGGTCTGGAGGGTGTCCAGCGAGGCCTCTAGCCGCTCTACCTTTTCCTCCATCTCCTCCCCGCCTAGCCCTGCCCCCATGTTCTCATCCAGCAAACCTTCTTTCAGCAGGATCTCCCGGCCCCGTTCCTCCAGTGCCTTCTTGGCATCTGGGTATTCCATCACTGCCTCCATAAGGTCATCCTTGGAAAGGCAGAAGAGGTCCGAGTAGCCGATGCTACGGATGTTAGCGGTCCTGCGGTTACCCATCTTGCTGCCCTGAATGTTGAGGATACTAATCTCACCAAAGCAGCTTCCCGATGTCAGTGTAGCGAACTGAGTGACACCATCATCCGCGACCACTGCCAGCCGACCCTCCTTGATGATGTACATCTCTTTGCCAATGTCACCCTTGCGGCAGATATAGTCACCGGGACTGAAGACCTGTGGTCGCAGCTTCAGGACGAGTTCCACCAACAGACCGGCCTCGCAGTCCTGGAAGATGCGCACCTTCTTCAGCGTCTCCAGGTGCACATTGATGGCGATTTCAGCCCGGAGCTTGTTGGGCAGATTCTTCAGCACCTCCTGCTCATCCATTGTCTTCTTGTTGGTCCAAAGGTAGTCGAACCACTTGATGACGCGCGCCTCTAGGTCCTTGCTCACCTTGCGGAACTGCATGTAGTGCTTGATGGCATCAATGCGAGACTGGAACTCTGCCCGTGTGGCATTCATATTCGAGATCATTGCACCCACATTTCCCACGATGGTAGCAAAGATCAGCACGCCCACAAGGAAGTCAAAGACTACAAAGAGGTACTCCTCATCCCGGACAGGTGGAGGCATCTCCCCAATTGTGGTTAGGGTGAGTGTGGACCAGTACAGACAGTAGATGTATCCACGGGTCAGTGAACTGAATTCAGGGTCGGTGATGTTGGGGTACACCCAGGTATCAGAGCCGAAGCCCAGTGACTTGGAGATGGCAAAGTAGATGCAGGCATTCCAGTGTATGATAACCAGGATGTAGAGCACTAGGTTGCAGATGCGGAATATATTGGGGTAGTTGGTGCGTGTCTCAGTGCGGTCAAAGAATTCGAACAGACGGGAGAATCGAAGCAGTCGGTTGAATCGCAGCTGTGGCTTGTGTATGCCCAGGATGATGTAAGCTAGGTCCGTCGGTAGGATGGAGAGCGTGTCCAGTTTGAACTGGGTTGTGTGGATGTAGTTGTCCCGTAATTTCAGCAAGTCCTTCACTAGCAAGCCCTGCTCCAGGAACCCTACAGAGAAAAATAAACCACACCAGGATGGTCTGACTGAGTTTCACTGTGATTGTGGGGTACAGACCTCAGTTTATTTAAACTTTACTGAGTTTATTTTAACAACCAATGTGGCTGTTTGAGAGCATCCAGGTAATTTGTGGCTGAATTTAGACGCCTGAATGAAAATTATGGGTTGTGAGAGAATCACCCTATGACATCAGCTGAATTAAACACAAGTACCGTAAAATATTTGGTTTAATTGGCAGACTAACAAGTTAGACAACAGACAAAAAGTTCTCCAGAAAAATGTGCTTTTGTACAAGGCTGGCTCCTGCCTTCACATGGAGGTGGGCAGAGTTCTTTCGAGGAATCAGGGTGTGATTTTAGTACAAGGTTTATTTTTTTAGTCTTACTTCCTATTCACCTATTTAGTTCCTATAATTTTGTAAATTCTGGTTTTGGTTGGCAATTTTCCTGCTCATTGGGCGGGTCAGAACAACACTCAGTCTAACCAGTGCGCAGCCGAACACAGGAGTCTAGGATGTAGACTGCATCAGAGAGGTAGTCCAGCACCAGCCACAGGATGAAGCCTTCCGTCTGTAGCTCATCAAAGCAGGCCCTGTGTGTAGACAGAGATATGGAGGGAGAAGTGAAGGGCCAATCAGAGAGCAGCAGAATATAACTGAGGAAAACAAACAATCTATTATCTTCAAACACCAACATTATAAAATACGTGGATCAGGCAGCATGTTGATCATGAACTTTTGATCCTGGGAGGTGCTGGAATGTCATACCACCTGACAAAGGAAAGATGATTTAGATCAATTCACCCGCTGAGAAATGAGTGGGAGTACTGGACAGCCTGACCTTGCGGAGCAGGTGGACTGAGCTGTGAATTCAACGAGCGGGCAGTGGCCTTGGGAACACTGGGCCAGGAAACGCGGAGCTGTCTGTGTGCCTGAAGGCTACACCTTTAGATCTCATAGGAGAAACTGCTGTATAAAGGTCCGCTTAATACAGTTTTTAAGTAAACATAAAGGATGAATGAGTAAAACAGGTATAAAGTTATTAAAATCAAAGCATCTCCAAGTACATAATGAATGTGACATGTGGCATGAAGTCTATGTTGTAGTCTAAGGTGAGTCTGAATGTGTGAATTTGCTGCATCACTGTACCTGGCCACTAGGAAGCACCAGTTATATAGTACAGCCGTCGCAATTACGAAGAGCCACCGGTAATACATGTCATCTGCTGGTGCCAGGATGAACACATTAGACTTCTTTCTGAGGGTCCCAAGAGAACATGATATAAAATCAGAAGCTGGTGAAAAAGCAATCCTTGGTATGATATTTCAGCCATATCATGAATATGCATCGTATCTGTTAGAGAGGAACTGCATGTATTCTACGTAAATTTTGAAAAGGAGCCGCAGGATGTGTCACCGGGCATACTTGGGTCGGTTGATTTTGGTGCTGCTGCCGTCGGGTTGGCTGTTGCTGATGCGACTGGGCGCGACCTGCAGCTCAGGCCCGCGGAACCTCTCCAGGAATGAGTCGGGACGCTGTTCCTCCTCCTCTAGCAAGCTCTTGTGGGCCCATTCCCTCAGCGTGATCACCATGCCTACCAGGCTGTGAGAAGGGCAAACCAATTATGGTGTATGATCTACAGATCCACCAACCTGCGATTCACCCTATTGGACACCCCCGCTCACCGTGACATGGCTCCCCTTCCACGGAAAGATCTGTCGGAGTTCAGGCCCTGGGCCTCGATGGTGCCCACCCTCTGCAGCTCAGAGCATGTGTCGTCACACACAGAGTGCACACTGTGGGAACGAGGTCACAAGTGCAAGATCAGGTGGGGCACAGAAGAGCCAACAACCTCCCACACTCCAGGGAATGCTCATTAAAGGCTTATTAATATTCATAAAAGAAGTGCTACCTGATTGGTCGGTGAAGCTATTGGGAAACTAGCCCCTGTTTTGTAGTGCAGCACACTCTCTCAAATTAAGACAATCTTTGGGCTGTGATGCTTTTGGGATATGCTGCTCTTTTGTGGTGCAAAAAAGCTAGCTAAGTTAGCCTGGGTGAAAGCAGCCAATCAGGTAGTGCTTCCTATTTGAATAATAATGAGCCTACTTGCCGGAACACATGAAGCTCACCAGCTCATGGTGCTGTCGGCTCTCTCAGACTCCTCTTCCATGGACGTCTTCACTGAGAGCCTGTGCACTGAAAGGTCCGAGCTCTCCGCCACCTGTCCGGTCATTCCCCTGCTACAGGGACTCACAAAGCGAGTTGCTTGAGTTAATGGACATCCTGCTAGCCGAGATCATGGTACGTAGGTGTTAACACCACTATATTGTACAAAGCACTCTTCTCACAAGCAGAGGATCAAATGAGTGTGCTGTCAACTGCTTCAAGCGGGTGTTAACTTTTTCCCATTTACTGGTACTCTGCCAGTACACTTCTAGCACTGACCTATACTTCATAGTCACCATTGTGTTTAGGATAATATTTCTAGTGAAATGGAAGTACATAACTCAAAGAAAGTAGATACGAGCCCAGAGTTGCATAGTTGCATGTCATCCATTAGCTGGTCTGTTGCTTTAAAAGTTTGATATTTAGTACTTTTCAAAAACTTCTTGTTTTGGCCAACATCATCACAGTCAAACCATTTGATGGAGACACTTGCGGAGACACTCAGAGTATCAAAACCATGGCTGTCAACAGAAGTTTTTTCCTTTTTCTCTGGTGCAGGTGTAAGTTAGAAGACAGATAGCAGAGAAAAGCACTAGAGCACTCAGTTCACGAGTGTTGCATTAATGAGCCTCATTGGCATGGAAACCACTTTCAGGTGATCTCACCATTTATGGAGGTGTGTGGCTACATCTTTGGAGAACAAAGGGGATCTGCCAACAGAAACCCAGCATCATCTGGCTCAGGGAGGCAGCTGTCACTATGGAGACAACCTTGGCACCCATAGCAACGACAGATATGGCTACGATGCTGCTCTCACTCATCAAGGGAGAGGTGTACAGGGAAGGATTGTGGATGAAGGAACGGAGAAGATAGTGGAGAGATCAAGAGCCTTGGACCACTTGAACAGCAAGCACTTCGGCTGTCCACTTGGTGCCCTGATTACAGGTCCTTGAGATCCTAGCAGCTGGGACCATCTCACCAACATCAAGTGGCCCTACAGTGAGAAGCCAAGTATGCATGTGCACCAGACAGACAACATTCCCATTATTATTTTAATCCTGCCTATGGAATAGTTGAAAATGATGGCCCCATCAAAGTGCACAGTTGAGCAACTTAGCATTTATATCTTGCAGGAACGCAGCCAGCTGTCAGCTCCTACTTTGAATGTTGCATTCGCACTTCTTGTTCGGGGTGTAACCAAAATCTAAAGAAGCAAACTCCCTGTAAAAACCAACTCTGACAGAAACAATGAAGATTGAACAATCTAGAATCTCAGATGCTTTGGGGCTCTCTAGAGCAACCTGCTCCTTGCCCTCTCAACATTAAATAATGTCAGCAAAAGCAGTGTGTCCTTACAGAATTACATACGCAAGTCACAGCACTTTGAGTCGTCCCATCATAAGGGAGAGCGACAAAAAAAAAAAAAAGACTCACCTGCTTTAGGATCTCTTTGTTGTTGGCTGGATCAAACCTCTGTGTTTGTTCAATATGAATAAGCTAAGTCTCAGACAACGTCCCCATAGTTCCAAGTAGTAAGAGTGATCCCTGCTGTCACCTGCCAGTCCCTCGCTGTTTTCTCCAACTTTTTATTCTTTTTAAAAGGTGGATCGCAGTCCCTGCCAGCCAGTGCCAGGCTCAGATAGAGCCTTAGTGGGTCTACGACCTGTATCTGAGACGCACTGGGGCATCCTGTGGTCCTCATCACTCAGGGGAGAAGGGGGTGGGTGTGGAGACGAGGAGGAGGATTAGCATAAACCACTCCAGAACCCACACAGCCCTCTTTCTCTCCCATAGTGACATCCAACATCTCCACATTTCTCTGCATTCCAATCATAGGAATCACAGCGTCCCCCCAGCTTTTCGTGGCAGGGTTTCCTAATCACATAAGACCCCCTGTGACTTTGATCAGGAGCAGGGTGAAGGTCCCTCGTTCCATCCCGCCTCTTTATTATGGCTGGTCCACATAGACGGCTCACCAGCTTGACTGATATCGGCCCCTGCGAATTAATTCAGCGCGCTGATGCCACGCCCATCGTCCAGTTCGAAGCTCAGGGGTGCTAAATTGGTGTGGGGATTGAGGAGACTCAGAGCAGCACAGGGATTGGCGGGTTCCTCAGGGAACAAGTGAAATGGTATTAGGCCATTGGCCCCTGGGGGCCATGGTGACAAGCGGCAGGCGTAATCGTCAGCGTTTGTCAAGTGGCTGCAACGCTGCGGAAAACAGGTGATTAGGGGTGCACAGCTTTGGGATGGTGCCCAGTGAGACATGCAGGGACTGACAAAGAGAGGGGTGATCACTTCCTGGTAAGAGGAGAAGGGGAAGCAAAAAATAGAGAGAAAGTGACAGAGGTGTCATAGACAACTGTCATTATGCAGTCAGGTGCCATCCCCAATTCATATATATATATATATATATCTCTCTCTCACACACACACACACACACACAGGAAGCCAGGCCTATCTGATTATCCTAATTACATCTGGTCCCTTTGATGTAAAAGCTGGTCGTGCCCCCCTCCTCATCTCCCAGGAATACTGTCCGACATCAACGTCATAAAAGAGGCATTTCCAATGGGAAGTGACGTTTTTCGTGACGTTTTCATCAGAGTTCCGACTCGGAGAGATAATTGAACGCAGGAATAATCTCTCTCACTCACACATACACACACACACACACACACATACACGAAGCCAGCCCTATCTATTTATCCTAATTACACCCGGTCCCTTTGATGTAAAAGCTGGTCATGACCCCTGGTTCTCACGTCATCTCCCATGTTACTGCAGCTCCCTCCAGCACTCTGGACAGCTGGACTGACCCCGCACCCAAACCCAAGGTGTGCCATCTTATTGGTTAAACTGTCGGCAGGGCCCGAACACCGACAGAGACCTTGACACGATTAGACAAACGGGATTGTTTTACTTGGCTGGATTTTTCTAGAAACTCTCAAATTAACTTGAGCAATTGTAATCCTGCTGTGATTGTTTCATTGAATCATATACAGCACGTGCAAAAAAACATATCCACTTATGAAATATTCATAAACCAAACAGCAAAAATTCAATTATTACATATGATTCCCCCCACAAGAGTTTGAAAACCTGCAAAAAGAAGTAAATCCAATGAGGGAAAAAAAAAAGTTTTTTTTTCCATTTTTTATTTTCCATTATGTAAAAAGCACATTTTGAGTATACATGTACGCAGGACACATACTAAAATGCGTTCATAGCTATGGAATGTATTAGAGTCCGCCTGGGTAGGATGTACTGTGTATTTTTTGGTAAATTGCATATTGGTATAAAGACATCCACTGTAAAGGTACATATAGAACAAAGAGAGAAAGAGAGCACAGCGCTTCCAGCAATACTGCAAGTTTGGTTCACACGTTCCAATGTTCTCCAGCTACCATGTACAATCTTAAAATAACCTCAAGTCTCAAAAAAAATACAGCAAAACTATAACCCTTTGCTTTATTTAACCCTCCAGGAAACAAATATGCAAATAAAATGTATAAGGAGGCTCAGAAGGACCCGAGCCTTTGCACCAAGGCACCTGAAAGCGGAGTTGTCTCGTTGGACAAGATATGAATGCATTTTGATGTGTACCTTTCTCTAGTCAAACCGCCATACATGGGGGGCAAAGAGAGAGATAGTCTGGCCTTTATAATCCAATGCTTCCCCCCACACCCACCCCTCAATCCCAGGCCTTTGTCATGATTTCAGCCAAGAAAAAAAAAACAAGATGCTTCTTAATTATGGCTGCATTGATTCCTTGAAGTCAGAAGCCTTTTAACCAGCAAATGGCTTGCGGGAGAGGTTCCGGGTCGGAGAAGACTGCCGTGGGTGGGCTGCCCCCAAACCTTCACCCCACCCCGTGTTACACCTTCTTCATGCCCCGGCCCATCAGACAGGCGAAGACAGTCATCACCATTTTGGGTTTCACTTCCACCAGGTCCTCTGGCAGGGCATAGACACGGGCACCAATCTTCCTGGCCATGGAGACGGCGTACCTGCAGGGCATTGGGTAGGGAGTATCCTTGTCAGCACTGTAGGGTTTACCAGTCTGTGGTCATGTTGAAAAATTAATGAAGCTCTTCTCATTTCAAATATAGACACTCCCATGTGTAACAATGTGAAACATCCATCCATATTATTTATTTAGTTGATGCATTTATCCAAGCAGAGTCAGTCAGCCCCTGGAGCAATTGGGGCTTGCTCAATGGCCCAACGGTAACATCACTCCACCGACTCTAGGATTTGAACAGACGACCTTCCGATCATAGCCACAGCATCCTAACCCAATGAGCCCACTTACCCTGGTCAAGGTCACAATATTAAACATGCACTGGAGTTTCCATAGTATAATTCTGTGTAATTTTCATTTAGTGCCTTTCCCAACAAAGTTGGAAACATTTCAGGGTGACTTTGCAAGAGAGCGTGCTCAAACAAGCAGGGGCACGATGGACATATCAACTGGGGAAAACTCACTTGGCATTTTCCAGCTTGTCCTCTTCAGTGAGGCTGCCCGTCTTCACCAGGTCGTAACTGATGCTGCCTGGCTGGATGGCGTCGATCAGGTCCACGACAGGAAGACTGGTGCTGATCTCTTTGTCCTACAAGTCCAAAAGAAAGCCCCTTCAGCTGTATACCCCAAAGGTCTCAAGCGGAATTCACACCATCCTCTGATGGGATGAGTTCTCGACTATATAAAAACCATTCACGTAAACACACTTTGACATCATGAAGAGCAGCAGGAACATGAAGAGCATTAGATAACAATACCAACCTTGAAGTTTCCTATCTTGGTCTTCTTTCCAGCCTCCGCTATAGTCTTATTCACCCAGTTGACTATGATTTCATCATTGGCCTTTTCGCCATGGCCCAGGTCTTCTAGTACATTGAGGGTGTACCTGGGGGAAGGAGACCTGGTCAGGTTTCCGTCATGGATCCATTCATTCAGCGATCATGACCGTTTTGGAGGTCACTCCTTGGGGATTTTTGCAACTGTTTCCCTCAGCTTTTACCAAGTAGCTCACAACACAACTCGACAGTTCACAACACTAGGTT